ACTGATTCAGTTACATACAGTGATTTTATTAAGCAAGATCTCAAAGATGGAATGAATGTGCAAGGAAGTTATCTAGAACATGGTGCTCTCATAGGATCCAGGGGTGGTTGTTACTGTTAAATGATCCTAGAATCCCAGACTGGTTTGGGCTGGAAGGGACCTTAAAGCTCACCCAGTTCCCACCCCCTGCCATGGGCAGGGACACCTTCCACTAGAGCAGCTTACTGCAAGCCCCATCCAAAATAATGAATACTAATTAGTACTAATTAAATTAAAACTAGATTTGCACAGTGAATAAACTAACTTTGAGAAAGGAGTAGGCACAGACAAATTACTTTTACTTTGGGGAAAAAGAATTCAGGTATTTACTCAGATTAGGAGCCCAACTTCCATTGATATTTAGTGGTGCTTAACCTCTGAAAACAACTGGGCTTTGTTAAGTATAACTCACAAGCACTGAAAACATCTCTTAGGGACACAGCCTAAGCTTGTCTTAGCTGAGCCCAGCACCGTTAGTTCCAGTCACACTCTACTCAGAACATGTTCTAGCCACAATATCGAATGTGGCTGACGTGGTTCTATGTTGTCACAAGATGAAAAACTAAATGCCTGATGTATCCCCACATCACACCCGAGTCCTCTTTCCTGAAGTGGGATTTGCTGGGATAGAGCCAGAACCAAGCGGGGGCGGGATGGGCTGGGAGGAGCAGCCACATCCCAGCAGCTCAGGTGTACTGGTCCACACTGCCCCCAAGTCGTGCCAGTGGGACCCTGCCCTGGAAAGAACACCGGGGAACTGGAGCTTGGACCTGTCGAAGTCCCTGCTATTCAAACCTGCAGCACACAATGTTTTTCACAAGAAAGCCTCCTTTCACCCCTGATTAACCTGCAAACCAGCTGTGTTCTGCCTGTACGCTGTATCTGAACTCGTGATGGTTGTGTGCATGGAGGAGACTTGATTCAAGCCTCACAAACCCTGGTGCTGCTACTCACGTACAGCAGTGGGAATGAGCAGAGGAACATGTCCTGGCTAGCGGCCACCTGGCAGTTATGAGGTATCTGTGCTTCCTTCTCATGTCACCACTCATGGACCTTTAATCCAAATGCTTGACCCCACCTCAGCTCACTTACAAACACTCAGAGGTTCTTCATACTGGTTTTGTTCACATCAGGGTCATCCGAATGGGACATTCCCCACGGGGCGCAGGACTGGAGAGGAAAAGGATGCACTGAACATGCCTGACACCTCACACGTTTGGTAAGTGCAGAATTTACCTGTTAATTCCATGTTAATTGATGCTGCTGTTCCTCAAGGGATTTTTATAGAATTGGGATGCTTTATCCCTTAACATCCTTAGGAACAGTCATCAGAAGGTACTAAGACAACAGCCAGCTCTTAAATACTGTCATTAATAGTCCCAAACACTATTAACATGCAAACAAATCTAACCCCAATCCCACAAAGCAATGGGTATCGTGACAAATGTGTGGATCCCAGAACAAAACAGGTCTAGGTATAAAACTGAGCCTAAATTTCTCTGGGGAATTATTTCTTCTCTTTATGGGATCTGGTTTATGGGAACAGAAACTGCGAAATTTCATGAAGCTGAAATTTCAGCTGCAAATGCTGAGCTCATTCTGGTTTAATCAAAATAATAAACATCCTTTTGAGTGGAAAAATGTTATTAAATCCAAATTAAAGATGGGATTTTTGTTTCTGGTTTTTGATTGCCTGGTTTGTAGTGGCCAAGTCAAACACAGCAACTTGTCACAGAAAGCTTTGCTTCTGAAATATCTTTTTCCTGACAAAACCCAAATTGTTCCTTTACTTTCTTCTCAACCCTTTTTGGCAGCTTCACTGTAACTTTCAAATCCTAGAATCACAGGATAGTTTGTGTTGGAAGGGGCCTTAAAGCTCACCCAGTTCCAGTTCCCTGCCATGGGCAGGGACACCTTCCACTAGAGCAGCTTGCTCCAAGTCTCATCCAGCCTGGCCTTGAACACTTCCCAAAAGTGAGGCACTGCAACACTGGGCAGTTTCGAGCTCTTACACAGGCCCAGGCAGAAAGAGAGGCCCAGAAGATGGAGACGCACTTTTGATGGCTGTGCCTGGAAGCAGGGAAGTTGTGAAGGATGCACAAGGGCATTGCTGGCTGCCACTGTGCTTTCTATGGGAAGAGATGTTCAGACTGCAGCAGCTTATTGAGTGAGCAGCACATCTCCAGACTATGCTCTGGTTCTGTAAGAAACCAATCTGGTTAAAATCTATTGGTAAATGAAGCTGCTGATTAAATCACGGATTGATTAAATACTCTTTGGTCATGTGAGAGCTGAAATACAGAAGCCAGAGCACTGGCTGCATGGCAAACACTACTCAGAAGCCAGGCTACACAAAAGGGATTCCCTTAGGGACTAACAGCAAGCATAAGGTATTGACTGCAAGAAGCCAAATGAGTGTTAGGCCTGCTGGGGTCAAGTGCAGGAGGGAAGCCAAGGCAGTGTTTCTGCATGAGCAAGGCTGGAAAATACAGCCCTGCAAGTGTCTGTATGTCTGGTTTGTCTCTGGGCTGTCTGTTTGCTAAGAGCACCGCAGAGTTGCACTGATGAACTGTCATCTCAACAATTCCTCTTCTACCTCAAACTCCTGAATTTTGCAGACTGTGACATTACAGGGCTCTGTATCTATGAGATCACAGCTCACTGATACCAGGCATGTGGTATCAGCTGTGCCTGCACCTCCAGCCTCAGCACCTGCCATGTGAGACACACCATGGAGCCAGCACTGCTTATGGCAAGTCACTTACCCCATCAGCAAACTGCTCCCACTGAAAAAGTGGCTCTTTCTTAAACCAAACCAAACCAAAATAAAGCCAGGCCCATATGTTGCTGATCAGTGCTGCTAATCTGGATGCCAAGAGGGTTGGAGACAAGGCAGAAGCTCTTCCCTGTGAGGGTGCTGAGGCGCTGGCACAGGGTGCCCAGAGAAGCTGTGGCTGCCCCATCCCTGGCAGTGTTCAAGGCCAGGTTGGACACAGGGGCTTGGAGCAAGCTGCTCCAGTGGAAGGAGTCCCTGCCCGTGGTTGGAATTGGATGGTATGGTCCTTTCCAACCTAAGCCAGTGTGTGATTCTATGATATGGCACTTATTACCTTCCCATTAACAAGCGAGGCAAAAGCCCTAATCCCTTCAATTACTGTGAGGGCTAGTACCCTCCAAACCAGCTTTTTCTTTCCTTCTCACATACACACACAAACTGCCAAAACCAAGACCACCCTTTCTCCCGGTATCGAGACACTTCCTGTCAAGCTTCATCTCATTGCCAGTGTTTCCTGCCACCAACACTCCTGAAAACAGAGCTGAGAATCAGTTGAAATGACAAACTCCCCCATGTTAGCAGGTCATCTCCTCCCCTTCCCCAGCACAGAGCCTCAGTGACACCTCCATGAGATGACATTATGCAAAAGAGCTGCCATGGCAAAGCATTTTATTATGCTTTGCCTGATTATGCTAATTCCAACTCTGTGGAGCCACTTTGCTTTCTCCCTCGCTCCTCTTCCCTCCTCCCCTCTCCTTCCTGTGCTGTTAGCAAATGGTTTTTATTGAAATGGGGAACATGAACACAGTTATGAAACAGAACAAATTAAACCAAACAGTTGGGATCACTTTTCTTTACCTCATGCACTCTCTGCTTTTGGTTTTCAGCTATTCCCATCACATGCAAAGCAACGCCGTGTTGAGGGGCCAGGCTGTCCATACCCCCCACACCCTGGTGTGCAGGCAGCCCTCGACCCGGCACTGCTGACCTGCTCCAGCAAGTCCTGCAGGACCACAACATCATCTAGGGGCTCCCCTGCTGAAAACACAGAAGCCATGTCCATGCACACAGGTAGAAGAGAGCTTTCTGGTTCTGGAAGCCCCATGTTATACCTGCACAGGTTTGTTCATGGGGTTTATTTGACTCACTGTAGTACTGATATTACTGAATACGAAAGGTCTCCAACAGTAGGGATGCTCACACTAGCAATATGAGGCTGGGGGTGACAAATTCTTGTCCTGATAACCCTGAGGCCAGTAACAAAACAGAAATCAGACAGAACTCGCAAACATTCTACTCATACAAGTGCCACAGGTGACACACGACTCCAGCCCAAAACTGATGTTTTAAAGTGAGAGAAAATATTGCAGAAGGGGCAGAAGGATGCTTGTGGGAGCAGGAGGTTTGCTGATGAGGAATGAAATGCTCCAGCCTTGCCCCACACTGCAAAGGAGGGCGGAATATCATTGGCACCTGACCCTCAAGGAAATATTCCTCCTCGACTCTGAATACAAACCTGGCTGAGTCCTGAGCTCAGATACAACATGTACCCAACAGGCACCTCATAAATTTGATCCTAAACTCAGTTTGCGGCCCTTGCCAATTGCAAGTACTTCAGAGGAAGGAATGGAGCTCCCTGCAGAAGCTGTCACACAGCAATGAAGGGGGAGGGCAGAAACATATTTGCTTCCTGGTCTCTGCAGGCAACCAGCAAAAGCCTCAAAGGATGGGATTAGTATAAAGCAAACATGGTGCAAAGAGACAGGAACTTAGTTCCCTGATGAAGTCTCTTGTAATACCAATGCATTAGGCATCTAAGGGCTTATATGAGAAGCTTAATTATTTCTCTCCAGGAATTCTCCTGTTCTGGAAAGAAATCTTTTATAACATTACAAATCCTTAAAACCCCCTCAGGATCCAGTTGTAGAATGTCCCTCTCCAGCCCGTTCTACAGCTTCCCTCCCACACGCCATCCTCATTTCTGGCCCAAGCTGAAAGGAAAAAGCAGCATTAAAATCAGGTTCCAAAGCACCAAGCCAGGATTGGTGCTGGAGAGATGAGGAAGAAACAAGGATCCTCCCTACCCTCAGCAAGAGCTGCTCAAGGTCTGCTCTTAGTTGACTTGCATTCCCCTCAAAGGTCCCTGTTCCATTAAGTGGGATGTATCACAAACATGTTCCCCCCACAGGCACCAAGGTGGCTGTGCAGAACATTTACAGGAGACGTGCTTGTGGGGAACACAAAACTCCTCTGGGAGCTTCTCAGCAGGTAAATTTGGTACAGACCAACAGGTCACATCACCCTCTTTAACACCTGCAATTTTCACTCTCAGCACAGAGCATCTTTCTCCCTTTCCTGTACCATCAGTCCCTGCTCTCCACACAGTGAAACCAAACGACCTGAGCAATCTCATTTATTTGCGAAGAGTATTTTCTCATATTGCCCTCTAATTCTTACAGGCTTTCAGGTCATGACTGCAAAATTCATGATAAACAACTCAGTAAATAGCTCCTGAGAGAGGTCCAGCAAGTCTGATCTCATCCCATGCCAGTCCTTTACTGACAGCTGTGGGTGTGGTCGCTGCCTGTCAGTCTGTCGAGCTGGACACCCAGTGCTCCAGGCACTCTGAAGGTAACAAATTGATCACCTTCCTTTTTAAAGGCACCACTGTGTAAGGTAGACATAAAAATCATAACCACTGCACCTTTTGTGTAAATAAAATAGGCTTCAGTGTGGAAAAGTAGTGACAAGGAAAGATGGATCAGTGAACCCATTGTTCAGCAGATCTGTTTCCATGCTCCTACTGCAACACCCCAACTGCTTCCAGAGAACGTACATTCTGATCTCTGATCTTAGGAATTCTGCTGCAAGGAATCTTCACAATGACAGGAGCTCGTAAGACAGGAGCAGATGTGGTCAGGGGTAACAACTGGTACCTGGAAAGCCCAGGTTACTGTTTTCCTGAGGCCTGACTCTCAGGAGTCTGTAGATGCTCCATCACACACGTCCCTTCCAGGGTTAGAAATAAAACGCAACCATGGCATTGATCAGAAAAGGACTGATGCCCAACAGCATCACCTACTGCTTCAGACACCAGAAACTTCTTCACTCGTTCTACCTGTAACCTCAAACTCTCCGTATGTGAGGTTTTCTTGTGGCCAACAGTGACACTTCAGCCACTCTCTTGTCACCCCCTAATTCCTCTACTCAGTCTTGACCATCCAAACTTCTGACTTGTAGGGGTGGGGAATGGAGAAGCTGACCCACCACATGTCCCTGAGTGGAAGCCACTCTCTGAGTCACCACATCTCACTTTGAATGTTCCCTGAAATTCCCAGTTCTCTCTGCTAACTTGTGTTTCAGCCTCTCCAGAAAGAGAACGATCCTCTGCCAACCAGAGCTCAAGGTACAGCACCACCTTTTTGTCTGCGGCTTGGGCTTCATTACTTCCTCTTGCTTAACTGCATCTCCCATCCCATGTTTTATCTCCATCATTCATTAAGGATTGCTTAAAATCTGAATCTATACTGTATGGTCAAGACTTCCATCTACTTTGATAGATGTTGATAATTCCTTTGATCCTCCACTTGTGCAGATCTTTCTAGAGAACACATCTGAACATCAGATCTTTCCCTTCCCGTGGGACAGGAGTCAGCTACGTGTTGGAACAGAGCCTGCTTTTCTGCTATTCAGGTTAATTTCTCTGGGGTGAAGAGGAAAAGGTATCTCTGAAAGCTCATTTAACACACTTAATGTTTCAGAAGTACCTAAAGACCTTCTGGAAAAAAGAATTCCTTTGCAATCCTAGCAGTGTTAAATATCATCATATGAATCATTTTTATAGCAGCAATGCCTCCTTTCAAATACAGAATCACAGACTGGTTTGGGTTGGAAGGGACCTTCAAAGCTCACCTAGTCCACCCCCCACTGCAATGAGCAGGGACATCATCAACTAGATCAGGTGACCCACAGCCACATCCAGCCTGGCCTTGAATGCCTCCAGGGACAGAGCATCCACATCCAGTGACACAGAAGAGGCCAGTCTATTGCAAAAACCCCAAGCTATATTGAACATAAAGGAGGCTCAGAAGCAATACCCCAAATTTCCAGTGTTTCGTGATGAGGTTTGATATTCCTGATTAACTGTGATGAATTCCCTCGAACAGTCTCTTCCCATTTCCAAAGCCTGCACGAGCTGGAACAGATGGAAAACTCAGTCCCTGTCACTGGAGATAGTGCTTAACAGATTACTTCAGAAAGCTGACTGAGGGTTGTCTCTTCTCTTATCACTGCTATAACAGCAGAGTAAGTAGAAGGCCTGGTAACGATTCCAGCATTCCCAGTGCCACCCCCAGGCATGAAGCAGTACATCTGCATGTTCTGGAATGCATCTTGCCCATTAGATCAGATTTATAGAGTACCTTTCTGTTCCTATTTCTTCAAGGGAAAAAGACTTGGAAGTGTTCTTGAGAGGAATTTACAATTCATATTCTGTTCACAGCTATCCTCCCCCAGCCTGGGAAAAGTAACCAAATCCAAACGGAGCTGGAATTTACACACACACAGGCTTCCAAACACCCTTTGCCTTTCCCTTCATTTAATTCCCATCTACTCGCCCGCTCGTGAAGACATTACTGGTACAGCCTCCATCAATTAAGAGCCTTGTGATATTCCCAGCACCCATTTTTGGAGCATTCCATTTTAAACCCAGAGCACTGAGGTACAAAGCGTCTGTCTGAGCATCCCGGAGCCACGAGATCTGAATTAAAGTCGACCACAGCTGACTGGGTCTGTTTCTTTCCCTGTCTTACTCAGAAGTGATGGGCTTGGTCTGGGCTTTGAGCTTGGGTTTAGGTTTGGTTTGTTTGCTTTGTTTGCATTTTAAAGGTGGCAGGTACAAAGCAAGTCCAGCTTAGACTAAGACAACCTGCAACATTAAGTCACTTACTAAACCAGTGAACACAGAACCCCAAGATGGAAGAGAGATGTGACCTCAAAGGACTTAAAGGGATCCTCAACAATCACATCTGCAGATATCAGCAAATACATGCTCAGAACAAGGTTTTAATTAGCAACTAAAAGAATTGAAGTATCTGAGTCCTAAATCCAACAGTCTCTCACCAAACACTCAAGGATTCTGGCCTCTGCACCTCACTCGAAGATAAAGCATGGGCTGCAGTCACTTCAGCCACAGAACAGCAGCAGTTGAGATAATATCTTTCTTTCTTTCTTTTATTCATGTTATTCATTGCCCTCAGAGTTTGAGCTGTGGTTTAGAGCTGTGACAACAGGATGTTAATCATTATCTTTCTGACAGAACACAGATTTCACACTTTAGTTTTTGTCCTGCATAAAGGACTTCACATCAAGAGCAAGAGAAAACAAAGAGCCTGTCCTCTACCAGCTGAGTTTAAGTGCCTTTGACTATAAGGTGGCCTTTATGGATAGAGCAATGACAGGCCCCAGGAGTCACTGTGAGAGGGATGTCAAATTCTGCCTGATGAGCAGGAACAAAAGGCAGAAGTGAAAAAGCAGGAACTAGGCCTTTCCTGCCAACAAATCTGTGTGGCATAGCCCCACATCCTTGTTAAATCTTAATAAATCACTTCAGACCTCATTGTGAACTGTGTTCAGTTTTCAATGCAGGTTAAAGAGAAATCAGAGTCAAAAGCTTGTCTTAATTATAATTCAAAGCTGACTGATACATCCATAAATAATGAGCCTGCTGCAAAGGAGAAACACTCTGATCTCTTCCATTGCCTGGCTTCAGCAGCAGCTCAGGAGCAGAGCTCTGCATCCCTTTAAGGACCAACACACACCCAACCAATAACTGATACCCAGCCCAGGTTTCAGTAAGATAAATCACTTTTTTTTTGCTTCTTATACAGATTATCCTACTTTCTACTTAAAACAGATGCTTTTGTGTTGTTTTGTGCTCTGATTTGGTAACACTTCATCATTTCAGTGTTACTCTCCTGATAATGGAATAACAGAACAAAAAGGAATATGCAATGAAGTTAATATGAGCTACAAGAGATACAGGTAGGTGTGAAAATGACAGTGTGACCAATCCCTGCTGTCAGCAACAGAGAATTATAGCTGTAATGTATTTCAGTTGGTTCTCTGGCTTCAGAAATGGTAACTTGTTTATCATTTCACCAGCATAAGAGTTTTCTCATTCATATCTCTGGGTTTCTACATGCAAATGCTGATTTCTGTTCAGCAAAGATGAGCTGCTGTAGCACTGCAATGCCAGTCTAAGGGCAGCTACCATGGAAGTGAAGGAAAGTTTTGCATCTCTTCATCAAAGGAGGTGAATAAAACCAAAACCACCCAACAGGTAGCAGCTCCAGCTTCAAAATGAGCAAGTGCTCTCTCTGAAGCGAGGACAGGCAGGTAATCGATTCCCTTCCACATAAATTCCTTTCACGGAATTCCCTACTGGACTATTATTGTTCCTCTACTCACTTCAAATGGAATATTGGGTCCGTTAAAACCAACACGAAAATTTCTCAGACACAAGATTTCATTTCATCTTTGGCTGCTACATACCCAGGAAGCACACACAGATAATAGTGTCAAAGGAAAAGCAGCTTCTCTTCAGATTCCTGACATGAAAGGAGGAAGAAAGTGCGATGAGAGGCAAACAACCATGGCTGAAAAGCAATGGGTGCGCTGAAAGCAAAACCTCAGCTCCAGCCTAATGTGAGACAGGAGGGGAGGCCACCCACCCAGGAACTCATTACCACAGCCTCATCAGCAGCTTAACCTCTATGAGGGGCTACATTCTCCCTAACAAGGCTGGGATTATCCCAGTCATCCATCTGGTAGAATCAGTTGTCTCCTGTCCGCAAACACGAAGGTGAAAGTACAGGAATGAATGAGTAGCCCAACACAAACACGTGTGTGTGCACACATCTCAGAGTGCTAAGGTAACAGAATGAGCAAGGTTTAATTCAACAGACTCCCCAAATAACATATCATCTAAAAGAGATGTGACACCAGAGTCAGATGGCTCTGGAAGAGGCATCTGGAGATCACCAAGAGCCAGCCCCAGCTCAAGCTGGGTCACTCACATGCCTACAGGGAAAAGATGTGTTCCAGGAAGTAATTACCTGGAATGAAGACCATCAAAACCAGTCTGAGCAACACAAACATTTCATTTCTCCACAAGCAAAATAAATTGATCTTGCAACAAATTCCAATTCTTAATAAACTGCTGCCTCAGATGAAACCAGAATGGATTCTAACAACGAGTGTCTAACGTGCTCCAGCAGCAGCACCCTCCTATTTACACCAGGAGGGTTCAGGCCAGAGCTCTCTGCTGACTGTAAGCATGGGAGAGAGGTCATCTCCCAGCCAAATTTCAAGCCATTCAAGACTTCAGAGGTCAAATCAGCAGCTTAACTGGAAACCAGGTGATCATTTCTGATCCCAGCCTATCAGTGCTGCACAACACCATCATGATGGGCCGTGTACAGGCAGGATCACACACTGCCTTCACTCGGTGAAATGCTGGTGGCCAAAGCCAGCAGAGAAGAGCAGAGCTGCCAGAGAATAAGCACAGCACCAGCCAGAGCCTCACAAAAGCCTCCAGGTGAGGCTCACTGTTAGGGGGACAGTCATGGCTCCAACAAGGTAAATCCAGCTCTATGAAACTGCTCTACCTATGTGAGTTACTGTGGGGTTGTAGCAATATAAAGGAGGACATTGAACATATTGCAGTGTCCTTTAACAACACTGACAGAAGGGCAAGACTCAAGACAAAATACAGTTCGGGTTCTGAAATCAATACAAGATACAGTTTTCATGTTCTGACATTCACAAGGGATCAATCACCAGGCGCAAGTGTTAATCCTCTATGGTTTCAAATAGAACGCAACTCCTGCTCTGCTTCCGTCTCTCCCCATCACAGTATTCAACTTGTATCAGTAAAACGTCAAGCTCAATCCCCTGCAGCACTGGTTAAAATTAAAATCTATTGTAATTATGCCTGATTGAAAAATGGAATTTTTGCTGTGTAGAGAATTCAAGGGGTTTGCATCTTATTGATCAGAAAAAATGAAACAAAGCATCCGATAGAATGGGAAATTCCACAAAAATCTATTGGAAAATAGTTTTTCATGTGTTTCATCTGAACTTTTTTCCACCAGCCCCTGCTCTTGTCTATGCATCATGAGTCTCCAGTGCCTCATAGCCCCCAGAACCTCTCATTTCAGTGTGGCAGGGGGATTTGGGCTCCCACCCTAGGCTGCAGCGCTTGCTGCTCTTCTAAGGCAGGCTCTTCTCACCCCATCTTCTTGCACTTGCTTGTTCTTTCCTGCTTGTCACTGTATGCAATTATGCACTTGCATTTCATTATCCAAACCTCTTTGAGATGGGAAGTGAACAAAACAGCTTTAAAAATGCTGTTCATGGGATGGAAGGAGAATCTGCATCAGCTGACCTAGACCTGGACCCCAGATCCAGATTCAGGCACGGCTCTAACCCAAGAGCAGCAAGGCCACCACGTGTTACAGTTAACAGGTACATGGGGATCTGGTTTAATCCTTAGCTCCTGACTGCCTTATCAGGCAGTGAACTGCAGATAAACAAAATTAAAAAGTGCTAAAAATTCTTGATGATTATAATAAAAGGACTGCAAAGTCCCATAAACTCTTCTGAAGATCTGGTGATAGTATCCCAAAAACGAGCACACTCCTCCAATTAAGGCTTCCTTATAAATACTCTTTATGCCCAAAGGTGTCATTTCATTTACATATTTATGAGCCTAACAAGAAAACTCTGAGGCTTGTGTTTCCCTTTTAGTTGCTGAAGGGAATAAGCTCCCTCTGAGAACACAGCCTGGTGAGCTTTGCTGCACCAGGTCATGACAGAAGGCGGCCATGCAGGGCAATGCTCCTGCCTACCGTGGCCACCTTTGGTGCTCACTGGTCCGCTCCTAACTTCCAACACTCCCATTTAGTGATCCGGTGATAAAAGCTGCTTCACAAGCTGATTCGGGGGAACCGAAGTATCCCTCTAACTCTTGCATCAATCCCACGGTGTAAAAGAGCCTGAGGGGGGCAAAAACAACCCTGCATAACCAGGGGCAGCAAGTTACAGACTAATTGGAAGAAGCGAGACAAGGCAGTATAGATTTCTCCCTAACTAGCCTTACTTTTCAATGTGAAAAGAAAATATTAAATTAAAACAGTGACTCAATTTCTATCTATTACAAAATTAGGTTATGAAAGTCAATTAAATCTGCAGTCTTGAAGCTCCAATTCCACGTGCTTGGCACCTTGCATATAGAACATCATTTCCTTTCCTTGTGAGCCCTCAACACGAGCTGTAAACCTGCCTTTAAGAAATCCCCCAGTGACCATCCGCAGTGAGATAACAAAGCAAATAAAGGAATCTTATTTTCACAACTCCCTGTGAACATTGAACCCTCCACAAATGCCCGCTTGGTACCCAAAAGCAGAGCTGTGCTTTAATTTGTTATGGGAATGACTCTATTAGCAGGAAGCGATTGCAGATATCTTTGCTGAGCTCCATCCTTAATGAATATGACCTTTCAGTGCTGCTGCTCAGCTACATTTCCACTTGGCCAACACGGGGAGCTCCTGATCAGCTAAGGACTTTCGGATGGTTAAAGAAACTAAAACACATCAAATGAAAGTAGAAACACCGAAAGAAGACAGACTTGTTCAAATATGCCCTTCAAAGCCCAGAAGACCGTTTAAATTATGTCTTCCTTCGCCTCACGCAGGAGGTATTTTTTTACCTTCCTTCCTCCTGCTTAATGAAATCTATTTGTTGACTCATGCAAGGAAAGAAGGTGATCATATTCTCTCAACTGGGCTCAATTTTGAGGCAGGTGTAAAAGCAGCTTGACCCAATAGATGAAATACAACAGTAACATCAAGAGCACTGTGCTCTTATGAAGAACATAATCCTTCCTGGTGCCAAAGCATTCTGGTAGAAAAAACAATGTTCCTGTTAAAAAGCACATAAAATTACAGAGCTTCCTGCTCGCAGCTGCCTCTCCCTCCCCTTCCTCTGTGCTGAGGGGTTTTACATGCTTTATGGCCTTTCAAAGAAGGCTGGCCCATGCGTTCGGAGCCAGCCCTGAGCTCAAAGCTTGCTGCTCAATGCTATACCCCAGCACTGCTGCAGCTTTGGGCAGTTAACCCCCTTCATTTGGCTCTCATCAAGCTGAAACCAGTCGGAACACAGACACTGCTCCACATTTATCCCTTAATTTCCCTGTACTTTAGTTGATCGGAGCCACGCAGATAAGCCAATGAGTTAAAACCAGAAGAAAAGAAGGACAACACAGAAGACACAGCATCACAGCAAGGCAGGGAAAGGAAATCAGGAGGGGGAAACCAGTCTGGGCTTTGGCACTGCTAGCTTTATCTTTGAATGTAAAAGTTAAACAATTAGAAGAGGACTGGACTCAAAGGCCCCCCTAAATCTGGGAACTGCAGCATCCCTAATTTTAGTCCATTTTAGAGATACTAACTTAGTATTTGAGTAGGGCAGGTTAGAAAACAGTGCACAAATATGAATATCCTTGCCTCTTTTTCCATGAATTTCAGAGTGTAGTACAACTTCCCATCAAAAGCACAAGATTCTAATCAGCCCTCATTAGTACCCATGTCAGATGCATGGAACAGCAGATTTCCATATGTACAAAAGGACATCAACACGATTCCTCCCATCCCATAGCCAGAGAAATTAAAAGGCATCTATGCTTTTAATGCAGCTTTGTCAAATAAGCCCCTTGTAATATTCCTATGATCATTCTGGGACTACTGTGAGGGGAAGGAACAAAGCACGGCTACGCATACTTGTGTGCCTAAGAATCATGGAATGGTTTGGGTTGGAAAGGACCTGAAGATCATTTCGTTCCAACCTCCTGCCATGGTTTCTTTTTGTTACTAATCAAAAGACACAGGAATCAGAGAGCCCCAAGAACCTGTAAGGAGAACAGAACTGAGCTAAAGCCAAGTCAGGTTTAGACAAGTCTAGACAGTCTGTACAGCAACCCGGAGCAGGCCTCAGGTCTTCCTGAGCATCCTCTTCCCTGGGGAATGTGCCTATAAATTGTGCTGAATCCTAAAAATATTTACCAGGTGACCAATCATCTGTTAGGCCGTGGTTGTCAGGGAAACAGACACTTATGAACACCCCTTCAGGCACACCGTGCCAAAGCATCGCATCTGCCCTTCCCTGCCCTCCCTCTTCCTCACTCACACCGCTCAGAGCAGCACCGAGCCCAGCACCACACAGGGTGTTCAAGGACCTCCCTCTGTACAGCCCGACCCCTCACAACCACACTCACTCTTTTCAGCCAAGGCTTCCAGTGCAGCAGCTCCCCAGTGCACACAGGTTGATGCCTCTATCCCAGCGATCACTCCTTGGAGTGGAATCTCCCTCTTTGGCCACTGAACAGCAAGTTTCCCACCCACAGCCCTCAGAGGAATTGGTGACAGCCAGAAGATGCCCTGGCTTCCACTTCTGCGGTCCCTGCTGTGATTCCTTTACCTTGAGAAAGAAACCACCTCAGCACAGAGGCTGCTGACCCCCTGTCAGAGCAGTTTACTTCTCGACAAGATCCATGCACAAGAGCTACTTTGAGGTTTAATTAATGCCTTTTGCTCTGAAACTCTTTGAAGATCAGACAGTGAATTACACCTGCATGGAGCGAACGCGGATCCTGCCATCGGAGCAGACACGTTTATTTCTGAGGCTTGGCTGCCCTTCCTTTTATTTTCTCTATAAAATCTTTTTATACTTATTTTTTTTTAATAGAACACCATTAAAATCAGTCAGTGTCAAACGATGAGGAACAATTCTGGAAAGTATGTTCCAGGCAGAGAGTTATAAATTCACTGTATTTGACAAGAAAGTGGCATTTTCTGATACTCACTGCAGAGAGCACCCAAACCCACCCAGTTGCTGTGGTTACCCTCAGGATGCTGTGCCCACCATGATAATCCCCAGAACTTTCATGCAGTAACATTTGGGCCATATTTGTGTTTTCACCTCCTCTGCTTTAAAATAAGAGGAGAAAAAAATGACAAGAGGAAGGAATGAGAGACTCCCTTTGCAGCTCTATTACCCTCAACCTTCTGTTCCATCTGCATTCAGCACAGAAGATGAAGTGGTAATTTTTAGTGCGTGGCTCTGAACAGCAGACCAAAATCAGAGCAACTGCGAACAAAACGTGTGAATATGGCAGACAGGAGAGGGGGGCCCAGGAGAACTACAGAGGGAGCAGCACTTTCCACACAGCAGAACTCCCAGGAGCCTTTCAGCTCCACCATACAGGCACAGGCAGATCACACAAGGTCACAGGAAACTACAGCAAGAAGAGGAAAAGTCATTTCCCAAGCAAGAGAATCATCTTGTTCCTCGTGATCTGAGAGGGGCTTGAAATGGGAGGAATGACATTTTATATCTGTGCATGTTTAAAAACATTACCCATGACATCTTCAGTTATTCTTGTTCCCCTGAAAGCAGGGAAATCTCACCCTCTGGACCTCTCCTCACAACGACTGCCAGAGATTTCTGCCTTTCACTGGAAAAATGTATTTTTTTCTTATAGATTCTTTTTTTAGTTCCCTATCTTTCGGCTTCACTATCTTCTAATTTGTGAGTAATGAGACAGAAGTGAAGCTCCAAATAACTATCCTCCACATCAGTCATTATTGAGAATACTTTAATCATCCTTCATCTTAGTCATCTCTTTTCTAAGATTAAATGCTTCCAATCTCACTCATGCTCCAAAAAACGCTGGGAAAGCAACAACAATTAAACAGCAAATATGAACACAGAGACATCTGAAAGGGTACTGACAGATTGTACTTCACTCCTGGTGTGTGTGTGTGTGTGTGTGTGTATATATATATGTATATGTGTGTGTGTGACTGGGTACTGCTCAGTGGCAGGCTTCTCAAGGCAGCACTTCAGCACTGGAGAGCAGAGCTGCTTTGGGCCGCCCAGGCACGCTGC